TGTTACGATTGGACATTTGGCGAAAATTTTAGTTTGCCACCGTCGCCCACTCGGCCTGCGTTTCCATCCTGTCCCGAGGTACAGGGAAATCCATACAATGCGCATCGGACCTTGATTATCTGCTGTCATCATTGGGCTCGGGCCGCCATTATGTTTTGCTTAATTTAATGGGTCCGTGATAAATGTGATGCTATATTGCTATGTCCCCACGCAGATTTTTTGCAAGGTCGAATTGATTTTTTTTTTTTGCTAAAGTCATGTGAGACACACACCGCTAAAGCGTCCATGCCTTTGATTCCATGTTGTTCTAATCTTCCTTTTTTTTTTTTTTTTAATCTATTATCATAATTTACTCCTCCTACTCCTGCTCTAATATATACTAAAGGGATCTCTAAGCTATACTAAAGGCTACTCTAACCTCACAATTTACTCCTACTAAGGGCTACTCTAACCTATATAATAAGGGAGTATAGGGTTATGGGAATTAACAGAACTGAACCAACATCTAACCATACAAGTGCAAGAAGCATTGATATAGATTTAAGAGAAACCATGTTAAGTGACAACTTTTGACGGAAACAAAATTTGAATTCTTAACTTCCCACCCCATAAAAACATGTGGTGGTCAATTATTCTAGAGGTAGTTAGTTCCATATTGTTCTAATCATCATTTCATTATTTCTAATAAAGTATGTTTCTCAACTATATTTTCCTATTCTCAAAATGTAGAATTATTTCTAATAAAGTATGTTACTCAACTAATTTTCCTATATGCAAAATGCATAATTTGGTGGTTTTTAAAAAAATGCAAGATTTGGTTGATTTTCTATTTACAGATAACATATTGTGGGTTCACAAGAGATGATTTTGCAACATACATCATCCTTGTCTATTGGAAGAATAAGAATATAAGGTTCTCTAAAATAAGATTCTCTAAGTAAAAGAAAATAAAAAAATTTAAAGCCAATGTACTCCGCTACTTCATTAAACAACTCTGTGACATATTCTCAATTTATTTTTTCATATATTAAAATTTAAATGATCAATAGAAGGGATATAAATGTGAGAGTAAATCTTACAGAAAGCTTATGGTAGTTTTACGTGGTTATCCCTTATTAGAACCAATTATTAGCAGAAATGGTAGAAAAGAAAAGCGGGCTGATTTAGGGCGCCTTTTTTTGCCAGAAAACATTCCTCGGAGCAAGTTGAAGCGTTTTTTGGTTGTGTGAACCGCAAGCCCGGTTCTATTTTGCTCCGGAATGCCCCAGCCTTGTCTTTGGTGTCCCGTGAAGATTAAAGATGTTCCCTCGTTTGTTGCGCAGATCCCTCGCCGTCGTGCGCTATTTCTCGGCAGAAACCATTGGAGCGACGGTGAAGTCCCCACCATCAGGTGGTGCAAGCAGCAAAATCACGAGCACTGGTGGAAGAGACACCCTCGGGAGGAGGCTACTGAGTCTGGTATACACAAAGCGCAGCGCCGTCATCGCCATTAGAAAGTGGAAGGAGGAAGGCCACGTAGTCCAAAAGTACGAGCTCAACCGCATAGTCCGAGAGCTCCGTAAGCTTAAGCGCTATAAACATGCCCTCGAGGTGTCTTCTTCTTCTTCCTTCTCACTTTTTCCTTCTGTTTCTTTCTTTATTTTCTCAGAATTCTTTTGTTTATATTTCATAGTGAATATTACTGGGATGAATTAGAACTTGAACTTGCTAGTATATCAAAGATGATAAAATTCTTATTTCTTCTTAAAAATAAATCAATAAAGATGATGGAATATAAAGTTCTATGGGACCCCTAATAGCTCTAATAAGAAAAGATAGCGAAATGGATTCAATACATTTACTTGCAGCTGTGTGTGAGCTGTGGTGAACATTGAATCCGGATGATCATCCATTGAGTTGCTCCTTGCCAGCTTTTAGTATTTACCATAATGCTCAATAAAAACCTTGCACAAATTTTATTTTATGTTTTTGAGTAGCCTTGTGAGGCATTATCCTTTGCGGAGGTTTTATTTGTTTACTAGTCAATCTGAATACTGTACTTCTGTAGGTATGTGAGTGGATGAGGATACAGGAAAATATCAAGTTACTATCTGGGGACTATGCTGTCCATTTGGACTTGATTGCAAAAGTCCGAGGCATGAATAGTGCTGAGAAGTTCTTTGAAGATCTTCCTGACAAAATGAAAGATCACACAACATGTAGTTCCCTTCTTCACACCTATGCCCAACACAAGGAATCCGCTAAAGCGGAAGCTTTAATTGAAAAGATGTCAGAGTGTGGTTTCTTGAAGAGTCCTCTTCCTTACAACCACATGTTGACCTTGTATATCTCCACAGGGAAGTTGGAGAAGGTTTCAGCGATGATTCAGGAGTTAAAGAAGAACACTTCACCAGATGTTGTTACATATAACCTGTGGTTATCTGTCTGTGCGCTGCAGAATGACGTAGAAACTGCAGAAAAAGTATTCCTGGAGCTACAGAAGGAAACACTGGATCCAGATTGGGTGACTTATAGCACATTAACCAATATCTACATTAAAAATTCACTCAAGAAAAAAGCAGCTTCGACTTTGGGTGAAATGGAAAAAAGAATTTCCAAGAAAGTTCGTCCCTCTTATTCCTCTCTCATTAGTTTACACACTAGCCTGGAACATAAAGATGAGGTTTATTGGATTTGGAAGAAGATGAAGTCAATGTTCCACAAGTTAAATGACTCCGAGTATATGTGCATGATTGCATCCCTAGTGAAACTCCATGAATTATGCAAAGCAGAGAAGCTTTACATGGAATGGAGTTCTATTTCTCCAACTGGGGACTCTAGAATTCCGAATATACTTCTTGCTGCTTATATCAACGATGGTCAGATGGAAATGGCTGAGAAGTTCTACAAACAGATGGTAGAAAAAGGTATGACTCCTAGCTATACCACTTGGGAGCTTCTGACATGGGGCTACTTGAAACTAAAGAAGGTGGAAAAGGTACTTGATTGTTTCAACAAAGCTATTGGTAGTGTGAAAAAATGGGAGCCAGATGTAAAGATGGTCAAAGAAGTATCTGGGATGCTTGAAGTGAGTGGCAACATTGAGGGTGCAGAAAAATTGTTAGTTACTCTTCGGCATGCTGGACACTTGAATACAGGAATGTATAACTCACTTCTCCGAACTTATGCAAAAGCTGGTAAAATGCCAGTTGTAGTTGTAGAGAGGATGAAGAAGGATAATGTCCAACCGGACGAGGATACCAGGCAGCTCATACAACTAACTAGCAGAATGTGCGTGACTGAAGTTCCGAGCTCTATCCTGGGAGAATAACTTGAGATTTGTTGTCTAGGAGATAAAAAAATGTACCTTGATGTATGCCTTTATTCAATTTGATTCTGCAGTTGCAAGGATTACTGACACAGTCTGCTGCTTCAATTTTGTAAAACGGGGATAAGTAAGATCTTTACAAAGCGAGGAGACGGTTCTTCCATTCCGTTGGATGTTTGTTACTGAATTAGAAATTCATCGGGGTACAGAACAGGGAGGGTCCTCGTAGGCTGTGAATTTTGATGGCGTAATAAAATGGTGGAAGAAGGTTGGCTGATTAAGGATCTTAAGCAGATTTCCGGCAACTCATAGGATTTTTGTTGTTCAGTAATCTCCACACCCAATTACAGGGCATCTGTTCAATCAAATGACAAACTGTTTATGATGGTAAGGTTCTGGAGCAGTAGCAAAAGGAAAACAAAAAAACAGGAAAAGGACCTTCTCTGGAATTTGTTACAACAGCGAGACTAATTAAGCCATACGATCCTACGCGGCAATGTAAATTTGCACAATCTCGGCGCCTCTTTCCCCAGTCTTGGGAAAACGATGGATGGTTCAATGTTGGGCGATTTTGGCATTTGAGAGAACAACATTGGACTTGTGGATGAAGGGAATATTCAAAAGAAACATGCGTTTTTGCCTTTATTATGTCATTTCCATGATATATAATTACATCAATAGGTGGAATGTAGTAAATTTACATGATATAACAGGTGGAATGTAGTAAATCGAAATCGAGAACGATGACTAATACTAGCACTAATTTGTTCAACCATATTCTTCGCTTGCTGCTACCTCGCGGCTTTCCGGTTCGTAGTAATTAGGTTGGGGGGATAATGGTAAAATCACAATCTGAGAAGATGGGGAAGGGAATCAACATGAGCTGGTTCGTTCACTTGTTCGTTCGGTTGATCAGATGGATGGTCCACTCTCCTAATTAAACCAAAGTTGGTGGGGTGGTTAAGACTTGAGAATGAAAGAGCCTCTTCCCTTCTACTAATAATAGTAAGTATACTTAATACACTATCCGCTGCAGCGTTAGAAGATGCAGCTATTTCCAACACGCACGCGCTCATACATTTCCTTCTCTCCAATATCTCCGGACCGACAAACCAACTGCCGGCCATGCAGGTCAAGGGAGTGAATACCTTGACTTGCATTCATCTTCAAAATTTTTTGAAAGTTTTATCAGCTGGTACGTTTAGCATTCATTTGATTCGACGGTAGTTCAATCTTTTTTGAGTTGGGCCTATTCCCTGCCCCTTAATATAAATGAGGAATATGAGTAGAATAGAAAAGCTATCACGTAAACAAAAAATATATATATAAAAAAATCACAGGACCAACACGGATGAAAATTTTGTTGACTCCGAAACTTTTATAAGAGAAGGCCACGGATGATACGAGGAATTGGCATATAATTGGACCAGCGCGAAAACCTTTAATCTAAGAAGAGTAACTGCAACGACCTGGAGAGGGGTTTACCCAACCCAACCCAACCCAACCTATCCACCTATCCTCCTATCCTCGTCCATGTCATTATCATCCTTATTCGTGGTCTTGTTTCTCAACTTACTCATCATCCTCCCTCCCCGCTTATAAATTGATATGTTTATTATATATATTTATATATAAAAAAAAAAAAATGCGTATTCCGCATTGGTATCTGTTATTTGGGGAAGGGAAAGAATTTCGAGTGGATGAGGGAAGGGCAAAGTGGTAAAACGCGGGCAAATGAAAACAAACGTTTAAGTTGATTCTATCCTTATTTTAAATCCAAAATCCAGGTCAACTATATATATATATACCTTGCTTCTTAATTTCCCATCTCTCCGCATAAGTAAAATTAGTTGCATTGCAGGTTCAGAGTTGGAGCTCGACATTCTCTCTGGATCCGTCCCTCAAAACCAAAAAGAAAAACAGAGCAAACCATATAGTAACCGCACCCCTTTCTCCCTTATCTGATCGTAAATAATGGCTGAGAATGGAAATGAGAACGTTATTCGGTATGAAGAAGGAATGTCGTGTCTTCTTCCCGCAAATGCTTTTGACCAGCAACAATCATGCTTGCAAGAGAAGGTGTTCTATTCCATCTTTCCAAGCTCAGCTCATCTGTCATGCTTCCCTTCCATATATCTTTATATATATATATATATATTCTTTTTTCCTCTGCATATGATGATATTCTCAGTCCCTTTTAATTAATTTCGTCTCCTCTTTTCCTTCCTCCTATTAATCCTGATCATTCGACTGAATCGCTTGGTTCTGTTCTGTTGCATTGCTGGGGCAGTTGAGATATCAAAAGCACCACCAATCCGAGCGGCACTACTCAAAATCACCAGCAGCGGATAATTCGGTACTTAAATCACTTTTTTTTTTCTCTTGTATGTACGTAGAGGAAAACTTTTATTTTCTTCTTGTTCATGATGATCATGAGCTTTTTCTCTGGTCTTCAATATGGAGTATGTGTGTTATTATGCAGTTAGGATTTTCAAAGATATTCATAGTAAGTCAGCATAATAACAGACAAAATTTAGTAGATAATTAAACATGTGAGGAATAAGTCAAGGATTGTAGAAGATGCTTCCGCCAAATGTTGCGGGGCAACTCTTTGGGAGCGTGAATTTAAATCCGAATCTTTCCGCCAATATGATATGGTAAGGAGTACTTAATGTCTCTCTCCTTTTTTGTGATAAATGAGGATTGCTATGCCAGTTGTCAGTATTATTTATTTTGGCACACATTATTGTAGAAATATTGCAGAATTCAAACTCTTCACTGAGTACGTGTAATATTATTGATCCTGTCCTGTGTTAACTTAAGGTCCACTTGGCGAAGGAAAGAAAAAATTCTGACTGAATTAGCGCTAGGGAACCTGTAAATTTTAATTCCCATAATCTCTCCTTTGAATCCAAAATAACTGTCTCCCACTATGAACCAGGCAACTGGGGTCCATTTTAAGTACTACTAAGATTTACTACAACTGTAAGATTAATTTAAGCTTAATTTTATCTTCCCCCCCCCCCCCCCCCAAAAAAAAAGAAAAAAATTAATAACCTTTGTTGTCATTTCAAGGATTGAAATCCCAGTAGTTGCACGTTAAGTACAGAACAAAAAGGAGGATAGAACTTGTTAGAAGCCAATGACAGCATTTTTTTAAAAAAAATTTATTTTTCCTTCTCTCTCTCTCTCTCTCTCTGTTTGGGCTTGTCTCGGCCTATGGCATTAATTAGGCAGGCCGATAGAATGAAGATGTAAAAACTGATTAATTTTGGCATGGTTGACGACGAGCATCGAGTAGCATTGGAAGTCCGGCCAGCTGGGAAACCAAAGAACCAGAAATGGGGGGTCGTCGAACACGAAATGGGCAATTGGTGGTCCTGGAATGCAAGCCCTGTTCTTGGATTCTGGGCAACGATCCTGCGGAACAGGAGTGTTTCTCCCTCGAAGAGCAGGAACCCACTTTCCATCATCCAATAGGCCAGGTGGTTGATCATTCGCACCAGCTATCACTCCACCATGCAATAATTCTTGTTTCTATGTATGTACTTTGTAGCACCTAGTTATTCTCTTCTTAATTTTAGTTAAAAGGTCTTTTCGCGAAAATGCAGCCTGCCCTCCTGTTCTCCTTCCGTCCCGCGTCGTTCAGGTCCTCAACCTTAATGTCCACGAACTTGGCTTCCAGTCCAGGCCCCAACAACAAGGTTTGCATTAGCGTTCCTCCACTCACTAAGTTTATCTTCAATCGTCGACTCAGCTCCTAGCTCAATATGCAACTTTCACACAAAGTACTGCCAGTATATATATATATACTATATATGTAGGAGTGTTAACTACTAACATGAGACCTTCGACTAATAATATGCAGAGCGTACTGGCAAGCAATCCAATGCTGGTGGTAAGAAAGAGAACATTAATGCAGCAGCCGGAGTGGGAAGCGGAGGCGGCCAGTGTTGTTCGCCGGAGATTTTTCTCCCGAAGGAATGGACTTACTAGCTTGGCTGGCTTTATACCTCGTACAGAACACTGACCAGAACCTGCAACTCGTTTCAGATTGATTGCTGCTGACCACGTGCCTTGCGGTGAATTAAAATATAGTTTAAATAATACCAGCAGCAGCCAAAAGAAATAAATTATTTAGAAATGCTGAATTGCATAGGTTTTCATTCTTTTTGCACGAAAGAAGTAGATGGTACATAAATTATTTAGTTCTTGATTTTTATTTTTTTTGAGGAAAGATTAGTTATTGACTCAATTCACAATAGTCTGTAATTAATTTACCGTTATGAATTCCATTCGATCGATTGTATCCGTTTTCGGAATAAGGTTGATGTATGTTACAGATGCGCCCGAACAAGAGACGAACTCCTCTGCCATTCAAGACTTCTAGCAATAAAGTCCATCACCGTGCATGGATCATTGGATGGACTCGACTCACCTGGGCCTGGGGGTATGATGCATGAGAGCAATGATACTGTCGTTGCCCATGCCCATTTGAGTATTGTATGATTTTTTTTCCCCATATTTGTTTTCTTTTTATTTCATTTTCTTTCTCTTCACCCTCTACCTTTACAATACTCTTGCACAATCTGGAGAATAGAATTCTTCTTATTCTTTCCTTTACCCTTTCTCCTTGTAGAAACGTAACAATACTAATAATAGATAAAATACAAGACATAGCAATGCTTACATTTAAGTTATTTATAATTTGACATACTGGAATTTATCTTTGATGCTAACCCTACATAACTTAACGGAAGTCGACCATTTTACTATCAAACTACATGATTTCTTGTGCAAGTGAGAGACAAAATAATAAAATAAAGGAAGAAAACAAATTACAAATAAGTTAAGGTCAAAATAAGGATCAGATTGGCCAAACACGAAAATCTAATGTAACGAACGCCGAGATATGAGATTTATAATAGAAAGAAAGGAAAATAAATGGAAAACAAGGAAGAATTAGGCAGGCAAAATTTTAAGGGGGAAAAAAAGGAAAAGGAGCAGATTAAGAAAAAGTTGGTGTAAAACAATGCAAATTATCCACATTTTGAGGGTGCTACAGTCAGGAAAATTAGATGGGGTACCGTAAAATGCCTACTAAAAAGTTGAGGGTGGCAGAGTGGAACTCATACCAAAGTTCACGGGGCTTTAAAGGAATTAATCCTCTATTTGCAAAGCCCTCCCTAAAACCCGAATGGAAGACCCAAACTACTAACCGGATCCGAGAAACGGTCTTTATAAGGATACGGAGCATCCGGCTTTGAGCACGGGGTTCTTTTCCTTCCCATTACTACACTATTCTGACAAACTCTGCGCATTTCGGCCATGGAAACCACTATAGTCAGCTCTCAGCTTCAACTCTTCACCACCAATTACTTCAAGATTTCAGGCAACTATTCCCTCTCTCTCTCTCTTGAATTTGTTCATACATTTACTTTTGTTACTATATCTACCTATTTTAGAATTCTATTCGCGTATATTCTGTACAACTAGATATTTTTATTTTAAAAGAATTACGAAGGTCTCAAGAATCTCGACATTTCGTACTGTTGGAAGTCACAAGAAGTAAATATCCTGCTAACTGTTAGCAATTATGTTTATTTCTTTTTTTTTTTGGCCAACCATGTTAACTTAAATTTGGCTCAGAATTATGCATATGCTGTGTTATTTGCATCATTCTCCGTATCATCACTTATTGGAAGAAATTGGTTTCTTTTGTGATGTTCTATTGTTGGAACTTTAATGCGCTATTTTTGGTCTTCTTTCCTAAGGCGTGATGTTGGCATCCCTTTTCTCGATCCAACTTGTGTCTTATCATTGAGTCGGCAGCAGGAAATCTATTTGGCGGGGAGTTGGAGTTCTACTTTGATTTCTTTTTCCCGGTTTTATCAAAAGTGCACCAATACTTGAGCTATTTTCAGTTTGTGATTGATATTCTGAACCAAGGACAAGGAGAACTCTGAGGGAGGGTGCTTTGGAATTTGCTGTATCAGACTAAGTGTTTTGTTTCATCTCTGATGTTGCAGGAAACGATATTATGCATAGGGAGAAATTTTGTCATCGACCAATTCCTGGATTATTTCCACTCAAGATAAATTGTTCAAGATTCGGTGGAAAGCCCTTATTGTTGTTAGATAGGCAAAATATCAGACCTTCTTATGATATTGTTTCTAAGCTGAGAGGAAGATGTTTTGAAATTAAAGCTGCATCTACTGAGTCTTTAGGTTATGAACAATTCCTGCCTGAACCTAATGCTGGCGAAGTGGTTCTTCCCTTGCATGATTCTGGTGGCAATGATTCGTTGCGACCAAGGCCGAAAGCTTATAAGAATAGATTTTTGAACTTTGTTCACCTCAGTTCAGTCCTTAATACTGCTGCTGAATCTTTCTTTAAAAGTGAGATACGAAGGAGGTTATTTGTGACTGCCATCCTTATTGTGATAAGTCGTGTTGGCTACTTCATTCCTCTACCTGGTTTTGATCGGCGGTTGATGCCCCAGGACTATCTTAGCTTTGTCTCAGGCTCAGTTGGTAAGTCGTGGTCTTTGTGATCATAATTCCTTTGTATGAATCTACCAAATGCTCAAAATGAAATGGCTGTTTTTCTGATGTATCAAATGCGATTACAGCTTTTCTGTGCATTTTGTGCTTTATATTGGTCATTTTTTGGAAATTTCTGGTGGAGGACTTTATTGATTTCTCAAGACATAGTATCTTTTTAAGTTTTCTTTTGGTATTCAGTTAATGATATCTTGGAAAAGTGGAAATCCCTGGAGTGTCTTCTTCATAAGTTTGGGACATTATGACATTTACATTGTGTCTCTGTGATGAGTTGGTATGGCTGATAGTCCTGTCATGGGAAAAATTCTTACTTGTCATGGTTTTTCTGTAGTTTACCTTGTGGCTGGTAAAGTGGTTAGGATAAATAAAGAACATGTTTTAGTAAAGTGACTAAAAAAGTAATGTTATAGCAAACTTGGAACCTGTTTTGGGGAATATGGACAATATTTGAAGCTCTAGTTTTTATAATTTGCTGTTGTATCTTGTACAATGTCTTTAATAAATTGGTCACGCAAATTTCACCCATTGGAAATGGTTTCTAGTAGTTTGAACTCTAGGTTGTGTATACTTCCTCAGTAAAAAATGTTTTTGCTTCTAGATGAAGCAAGAGGTAACATTATGTTCCTTGTGGATTTGAGGGTCTATCATGCAAATTTTTTTTGCCTTCTTGCTTCAAAAGCGGGAAGGTAGAAAAAGAGAAAAAAAAAGGAACTCTGTGACTTTGCGGGTAAAATCATTTTTCACTTTCACTTTGCAGATGAACTAGGTGACAGCACACCGGAACTTAAGCTTTCTTTGTTCCAATTGGGTATCAGTCCTCAAATTGCAGCATCAATTCTCATGCAGGTATCCTGGGTTTCCCATGATAGATCATGTTTTTGATGGTTATTTGGTAGTATTATGCTGCTACACAGGCTAGTGCTTTCCACAATTTATTGTTATCTAGGATTTTTGGAGCTGCACATTACATAAAAGACATTGTGAAGTTAATCATGTATATTTGTCAGTAAATCTTCCAGCTTGGCCTCAGAGTTTGTAATGCAAGGGATAGTACTTTGTATAAAAGCATTTATATAGGCCCAGTTGGTGTGTCCTGTATATAGAGCTGCTACACATACTCTTGCTTGCCTATGATTATTCAGTCTAAGAACCATTATTGTCACTTTTCAGCATAGTTGCCTGTCGTTTAGCATCTGAGGTTGTAGCACCTTATTTATAATGGAGCACATTCTCTTTTACAGTTGTCTTATTTTGTTGTTTTTTCTTAAATAGGAGTAGATGACGCGAATCTTTTGAGTTAATGTGCTTTATGCACTTTGCATTTACCTATAGAGTCTATTATGTTCTTCTTTTTATTATGAATTTCAATGAGCTTAAATCAGATTCATTTTTGTCATTCAGGTTCTTTGCCATGTGGTTCCTTCTTTGGTGAAGTTGCGAAAAGAAGGCTTGGATGGTCACGAGAAGATTAAGAGTTATATGTGTGTCTTGGTTATCTATTTCAAGCAGTGAAATGAGTTGTTAAGAAAAATTTTCCTATGTTATCAAGTTCATTTATCCTTTGATCAAGTTAAGGACTATAGCAAATATTTATTGATCTCAGATGGTGGATTTCGCTTGGGTTTGCCATAGTGGAGGCTCTGGTTCTTTCTTGTTATTCGCTCTCATATTCCATTTATGCTGCCAGTTACAGGTGATTCGAAAATATGAATTTCATTCTTGACAATGAATTTGTGACAGAGTTGGTTTTCTTATCTGATCTGGTTACCTTTTTTTCTACTGTGGGTCATCTAATCATGCAAAAGTATTGTTTGTCTCCAATGAGTTGCATTTTTGTACTATTGCTGAAATACTCTGTTATATCTAAACAATTTCTTATGGATATTTTCATCTTGGCTATGGTGTATTCTCTATGGCAGGGTAAAGCACGTGATGTTGACATCTTCCCTTTTGGTGTGTGGTGCAATGACTATGACATGGATTTGTGACAAAATAACAGATGCTGGATTTGGTATTGCCTGGAATTCTCAGTTATCTGCCTTTCCACAACTTTTTACTGCTGTTGTTTCTGCATGCTGCAGGGAGTTAACAGCTTTTTTCATTTTCTAGTCAAGCAATAAAGTCAGTCTACCTAAAACCTGTCAAGCTTAGGTTTTCATTAGAAACAGTTGAGTTTTTATCTCTTATAGAGATTAGTGAATGATTTTTCGGACGAGTTTTCTGTCCATAATGACCTTTTGAACTTTATGGGGGTTTCTGCAGGTCAAGGCTCGTCATTGATTATCTGTGTGGGGATTTTGACTGGCTACACAGATACATTGTCCAAAATGCTTACTCAACTATCAGGTGGGCAACAAATTGCAGAATGTGAAACCTCTTCTGGCCACATGATTCTCTGACTCGTGGAAATAATACTTAAATGTGAAGTAAGACATGTAGTATATAGCTTGTGCTCTTATCTACAAAGACTATTATGAACATGAAATTGGCTTATGTAATTAAACCTCTGGATTGATGATTATTCAGCGCATAGGGGCCTATTCTGATCCCCCTAAAAAATAGAAAGAGATTAGCTCTTATGTAGAATATTGCAGATTCCTCCTATTTCTTTGCATGAAATTCAGTTTCTTTTTTCTTTTGAATTTTATTGCATGCTATGTGATTCCCTGGCTGGTACCTTCTCTTGCAAGCAATTCCAGGTCCTTAATTATTTCTTTCACTTGAAGAAATATGCAGGTACAGTTATAAATCGACTTGAAGAGTATATTTCTGTTAATTGATTCTTTTTACCATTTTGACTGAGATTGTGGAGTAATTGGGTGCTTGTTGTTTGAGCATCTTCTTTGATATCATGTTGTTTTTCAAGAAATATTGCTCTCATCTTTTGCATGTGATATTAATTTGGACTTCTTGCTTTTTGCAGGAACTGCTGTTAGCTGGTGGCCATATGTACTAGCTGTTTTTGGTGTTTTTACTGTAGTAACTATGTGGGCAGTTGTTGTGACTGAGGGTTGCCGGAAAATCAAGCTGCAGTATTT